AACAGACTCAGGGCTATTTTGTTTTCAAAATTAATTCTGACTGTCAGAAACGGTTGCATCTCAGCTCCACCCTGTGTGAACATATGTGATGATATTTGATAGCTCACTTACCTGCATGTGACAGTAACTGTTCCAACATGAAAGTCAGTTAGCATATCTTTCTCATAGCACTAATTGGCGGTTGAGAGCCAACTGCATGACAGGGCCTGGGGACAGCTCACTGGTGGTGTAGAAAATGCTGGTCTGACCAGTTAAAAGTAGATAGTTTGTCAGTTTCAGGCAGATTTTATTATCTGTATGAAATGAGCCTCTGTTTACTTTAGTAGTTAATTTTCATTTTTATTGATTCACTTACTTACTTGCTTTCTCTAGTGGCCCTTAGATGCATAGCAATGTATCTTTATCCAAACAAACGTACACCACAAAAAAAATCTGACTACCTACCTAGAGTTGTTCCGATTCCGATACCAGTATCGGAAATTTTTCTCGATACTGCCGAAAATGCTGGGCAATCGGTATCGGCGAGTACTGGAGTCCAGGCACCGATCCGAAATACCACGTAATTTATTACATTAGTAAATCTAGTTACTGGTTAGGCTCCGTTAAGCCTCTGGTTACAGTCTTCTTCGCGCCCTCTAAAACAGTGCGCTGTGCTGCAACCTGCAGCTGCTGTTTTTTAGAGGGACAAGGAAGGAAATTGATCACGTGACCAACAGACACAAACAGACACACGTGTGTCAGAGCCAGTTGGACGCGAGGCTTGGGAGCTAAGCTAAGTAGCACTATCATGTCGGCGGTGTGAGCAATATTTTCACACTGCATCTCCCACCAGTAACACTGCGACATGTAACGTGTGGCAAAGATATAAATCTCAAGGGGTGGCACGAGTGTATTTTAACCACAAGTTTAAGTTTAAGTTTGCTGTTGGACTACTGTTTTTTATTACTGGTACCTTCATTTTACAATATTGTGGCTGCAATTTAATTTAAATAGATATATATAATATATTCTAGATTTATTTATTTTAAGTTGCTGTTTGCACTACTGTTTTTTTATACTTTTTTATTTAAAAATAAATGGCTTGAATTTGCTGTATTTATTCATGTTTTACAAAGGGTTTAACCGAGCCAGGCCTTACCACAATGATCATATCACAGTCATGCAGGAGTAGTAATGCATATCATTTTTTTTTTATAACATACTGGTATCGGATCGGTATCGGGAGGGAAAAAATGGTATCGGAACATCTCTATACCTACCCCACCAAAGGATCACACAAAATACAAATCATTTAAGTCCAGAAAAGCAGTTAGCACTCTTTGTTATCCAGTTCTTCACCCAGAAGACATTTTGACATGTCACAGTAAGAAAAACACAGGTGTGAATATTAAAATGAGTGATGGCTGAATGCCACTTAGATGCTTCAGTTTCAGTGTCCTGTTATTGTGCATGCTGGCTCACTGTCGCACTGGCATGGCTTACTGAGGCACATGAATGGAATGAAGCCATTGTTAATGTTATTAGTAACACTTTGCTTATTCTGCTATGACAGGTCAAAATGTTAGCCATTATAAAGGCCTATTGTCTCTTAACTGGTACATTCAAGACTCCCGCTTCTGCATTACAGGAGTCTAATGTTTCTATCTTGGAACACTGGCATTTCCTGTGTCATCAATGCAGTTCAAGAGAGCACCAAACATGTATTTGTATTTGAAATACCCACATATTTAATTGCCTCTAGCCCAGAAGAATCTCAGTGATCAGCATGGGTGCCTATTAGTAATTTTTTAAATTTTATTTGAGTGACTAAGGATTCTCAGATCTTTTTTGTGTCCTCTGATTGGTTCCATTAGGTCCAATCATACCTTTGCACAGACTTAAGACTATATAGTAATTTATGACATCACCTGGATCTGAGGGTGTGTGCAAAACCAAGACAATACAAATAATTCACTTGCCTACTGTTTGCATTGCTGAAACAATGAGCCAGTCAACATTTTTTACTGCCAGCCACACCACTAAAATGCTGTAAAATCACTTTAAATTAAATGCTGACTTTCATAAAGGAAAGGGTTGCTTTGTCCGTATAAAGTCAGTCTGTAAATGAAATCAATAGTTTGGGAAGGTGTGGCCACACTGACGACTCTAGGCTGTTTTAGCTCAAAGAGTTTTGACAGACCTGTTGTTGAGCTGCAGTGTCACCTGTAAAAGCTGCCACATTATGTTCTTTTGGTGATTTACTGCATCATTGTGGTGCATGCTGGTTACAGTCAGTTTATTAATATCTATAGACTGAAAAATACTCTTTTATATGTTGTTTTTATTATTATTTATTATGTAGAATATGTGATTAATTATCAAAACGTCTTGTGTTTCCCTCTTTTGACTTGCAGATTTGGATACGCATTTGTGTCCATTTACTGCTGTTCATCACGCTTGGGGTACATTCAAGTAAATTTGGCGTCAACCCAGTGACAGATGACATCTCGAGACTCACTATTTTGGTAAGGGCAACACTGTATTTTAACTAATACAACAATTTTAAATTCACATTGAATATTTTATGTACAATAGATAGTGTTTATTTAATATAGAAAGCACAACATGGACCGATATGTTCCTGCTTTATGTGGAACTATCATTAAATTTATTCCCATCAATTGGCAAAGTATAAACATAAAAGCAAGAAAATACAACAGCACTTAAAATGATCTCAAATAGAGCATTTTTCAAGTGAGACCTGGTTACCAGTCGGGAGGAAGAAAGAAGAGAGAAAAAAAGAGAAAATCAATGCAATGATAGGACCAAAAAGTAAAACATGCAGGTAGATAGAGAAAGAGAATAAACTCACCAAATTAAAGCATTTTTTTATTCCATATTGACATTGAAGAGTTTTTTCCACATGCTACACAATTAACTTATGGCTATATTGATAAGGTATATGGAATTCTGAATTCAGTTTCTCTGAAATTTTATATTTTTTTCTTTTTCTTTTTACAGAGACATAATATTCCTAAAGATTACAAAATTCCTGTACGTTTCGTTCCAAAAGAAGAGGTAAGATATTGCGGCATCCGCCAACAGTAACTGGGGGGGGACAATACAGCCTTTTATCCATCCTTTTAATTGTCAGTAGCAACCATAACTCATACTCACACAAACTTTATACACTCCCAACAGGAAGAAACCCATTGACCTTAGTTACAGTGTAAATATTGTGTCAATTGCAGCTTTAACTGTGAAAGTGACATCTGACTGGGGTCATTATTAAACTTTGGTGGATATACACTCTTGTTGCTCTCTTGTTGACATGCTGGTAAATCTGATTAGTATGCATTTAATTATCATGCAGTACTTGCTATTGCTCACTTTATGCCATATCTGTGCTCTTTTTCTTATAGGGTGGGATGTGTTGGGTAAAATTAAATGTCTTCTACCTGGAGGAGAGTTTAAAGGATTTAGCACATAAGTTTGGCAACATTTCATCCAACAGAAAAGATATTAGCATATTCGTCCAAATGATGCAAGAACTGCGGTTCAACTTAGGATCTGTGGTAAGTTCATATTGAAGTATGATGTATGTATGATGTATTTGAAGTGTTGGAAACTTTACAGTTTTGTAGCCTTAAGTTAAACTATTTAAAGCTGAAATCCATAAATTCTCATTCTTTACGGGCAGAAATGTACAAAGGAAATTTAAATTACGTTCAAATTACCCAAAAAAGATAATCCAGAGTTGTCAACTAATGTTACAGCTTTGGGGACTCACATTATTGAAGTAGTGTAAAATGGTTTCAATACAAGGCAAGTATAAAGACAATTTTATGAAGCTAGCACGACAGACAAATGCACAATGCACACATGGCTTGCATTTTTATTGCAAGGTTATTTATCTGACCAGCTACCCATACATTTTATTTTTAACTCATTATCTGTCCAAAAGAAGTGTTGCTTGTCATGGATTTTAGCTTTAAAGGCAAGGTAATCTGTTCATCTACACCCTTGAAATGAACTGCTCAAAGACAAGACAAACAGTTCTTTTAAACTGTGTTTTGTGTCTTTGCAGGAGCCGATCATGTATGATTTCGAGTGCCACTACAGGGAAGAGAGGTGGCAGACAGTGCGATACTTTGACTTCATCGAAGACTTCCTTATAGCTGCACAGAATAGAGAAGATTCAGATGACTGTGATCCTCCTCCCTGTCCCACCACACCACACACAGTAACAACAGAAGAATATTTAAAAGGTAAAAATGTATAATATGTGACATTTTCGTTCGGGTATGAAATCAATGATTATTAATCATTTATCATTAATGAAATATTACTATGAGCTCTCTCTACCATTTGGCCACTGGATGCCTTTTTTACTTATCTTTTTTTACTTGTAGGAGACAAAGATGAACATTAAATGATCATAATTTTTAATATTTTGGGAATAACTGGGAAACTCAAATAATCTATATATGTATATACATTTTGACTGAAACATTTAGTCTGTCCATTGATTAGTCTATAAGTCTCAACAGGAAACTGGTTCCTGCTTCTCAAATGTGAGGATATGTTGCCATTTCTGCTGCTTTTTCTGTGTAAAATGAGCATCTCTGGGTTTTGGACTGTTGACTTTTTTCTGCAAATTTTTTCGTTTTTTTGAATGTGAAAATAATGGATAGTGAAAATATTGTTTTTCATATATTACCTTGCAACCCTAAACTGTAGATGAAACAGGGAATTAAACCCAGAATCAGCTGCAGATGATTTCCCCAGCCAAAATATTTCACTGATGTTTTGCAGTACATTTATCAAGTTTTCCATCTTTACTATAAAACCTGTCAGTTGTGATTTATAAATGGTTGGGGCCATATATGATGTGAATCTTCCCTGACGTAACAGCATTGGCTAAGACAATCTTATGGGCAAAAACACGTATAGTTAACACAAAAATACGACACAGTCTCTGCCTCTCATGGAACAAATCTCCCTAAGCTGTTTGAATGTGACATATCTCAGGTGTTAACCAGATGTACAGCGATTTGAAATATTTCAATTGTACCATCCCCACAATGAACTGCACGCTGAGAACTCATCCGATCTGGTGTGTGATGCTTTAAGCCAAAGGATACTACAACTAAATGACAAGACTGGCAAAAGATCTAAGAGTCGCTCCAGCTTTCTCTGGTCGAAGCTGATGTTTTGAAGACTGTTTGGATTTCACATTCTGAGTTTGGACTTGTCTCTTCATGTGGCATTGGAAGGGTCAAGACTCAACACCAACATTTTATTTGGCAAACAAAGTACAGTATATCTGCGGGGTGTTGATAAGTTGGATGGGGTGGGGCCTCTTTTTGTTATTGAACTTATGCGTTTTTTCTTATAAAGAATAATCTCACTGCCCAGAACATCAACAATCCACAAAGACTATGTACTGACAACTGTTACTGGTTAAAATACAGATGCCAGGAAGCTAAGTACATTAGTCATATTTAACAGTGAGTTCGGTGATAATGTCTGTAAAGTTTTAGTTTCACAGTACAGATCGCTTTGGAATGAATTGTCTATAATTCAGTCAGCAGAAAGATAAGATCACAAACTGACAACTTTCTATGTGTGCTTCCTGAGAACTTTCTTCGCTTACTGTGGAAAAGTAAAACTTGCAAAGGGTTCACAAAATCACGTATTGTATCCCTTAGGTCTAGTGTAGTCATGCAGTGAGTTTTGAGATATGTACACCTCACTGTCAACAGGTTTTTAGAGACTGTTTTTCGGTCTGTTTTCTTCTTAGCTTCAATAAAAACTGGTTTCATCAAAGTCTGTGGATCAGTTAGAGTAACCAGAAAATTGTTTCTGGTGAGACACGTGACTGTTGAGTTGTCTAGAAGCAATTTCCAATGCTTTGAGCATCACCATCATATGTCTCCACAGTACCACCATACTGGGGTGGCAGATGTAAAATCTCAGATGTGGATATCTCAAAACCTCAACAAATAAATCCAAACTATCTACATCGCCTTACACTGCCAGTGATGAAATGAGTGAGAACACATGTGCTTTTATGATTTGGGTTAACCAACTCTTTAAGCGTTTTTTAAGTGTTTTATTGTAGAAAACATTAGCAGCAATTGACGATGTAGGTCACACTTCCCACACACATTTTATGAGCTAGATTCAAACCAGCAACATTCCAGTCACAAGCTCACTTCTCTTTGGGCTATTGTGAACGGGCTGTATTTAGGACAGATCTCTTGTGGCCATTTTGAGAAGCTTTTAATCCAGGAACCATTATTTCTTCACAAGAACTTTGCAAGATAAAAACTCAAAACGGTCTCAGTGCTTAGACGGCCCATTGAGACACGGCTGAGTCACAGGACTGAGGGAAGATGTCCCCAGGCAGCGCATGTGAAAAGGAAGAAAAAGGCCGAAACCTGATTGTGTACGTGTTGATTACAGAGCAATCTTCCAATCTTCCCAAGCGCTTGGCTTTTCTTTGCCAGAGTGGTCGGATCGTATCTTTTATGTGTGTGTGTGTGTGTGTGTGTGTGTGTGTGTGTGTGTTTGTAGGACGATCTGTCTGTGCCTTTGTTACAAGACAACCTAGATGGTTCGTCAGGGGTTCTTTTTCCTTTCTACGATCCTGACACACACATGCTCTACCTTGCTGGAAAGGTAGGTCTTCAAAAGCAACTAGAAAGTTCATACGCACTATACACTTGATATTATTGTTTACAAAGACTTCTCTTGTCTCTCTCAGGGTGACGGAAATATTAGGTACTATGAGATCAGCTCAGAAAAACCGTATATCCACTACCTAACAGAGTACCGCTCGAACTTACCTCAGAAAGGAATGGGTGAGAAACACACACACAAATATACACACCCACACATTGGTACTAAATACTACTTTTAAACTAAACTCCAGCATGTTGGACGTTTCATTTAACCATTTCCTTACTTGAATGTGTATAAAATGTGTCAGTTGGTCAAAATTTAGACATTTTCCCCCCCTTTGGCCGGGCTGACTCTCTTGCACCTGTAAGCAAAGCTGCTGTGCAAATAAGCCGTGTAATATTTGAATAACCAAACCAGCTGATGAAAGCGAAGTCGTAACTCATGTGAAGTGACATGCAGCATGAGCTGAAGCCTGAAGGGATTACAGACATGTTCTCATGTTGTATATTTTAAACTCAGGACAAGGATAGTGTTGGATGGAAGATGTTTAGAAACTATATTTTACTAATACATTTTTTATGGAACCGAACAGCGGCAGCTCTTTACTATACAGATATAATTCACCCATTGTTCCACTTGTGTGAAGCTAGCACTTTGTAGTACTCTGACAGACTGCTAATACTATAAAAAATCAACAGGTAATATATGTATTTATAGATTGGACTCATATTTTCAGTAAGAACGTCCTTTTGCAAAAATGGAAGTGTTAAAAGTATACAGAAACTTTAAAAATAGGGTGTCTCCAAACTTCAGAGCTGTCAGATGGTCCAAAAATTAATGTCCAAATTCATTACAAGGGTCTAATGATCAAAACCATCTATTTATTTTAATTTAGGTGGTTGTTAAAAGGTTTAAAAAGCCAATAATTTCTTATAGGCTCATTCTGAACCTGTGCTAAAGTGTGGGTCTGGTCCTGCACTATTTGCCCCACACTGGCACCTTTCATTTTTCATTTGCAATATTAACATACAGTATACTGTAAAAGGGCTTTTAAAGTTGTCAAACCATAATGTTGTTATGTTATTTATGGTGATGTTTTGTCTTGTTGTGTTACATTTCTACCTTATCTCTAAACATACAGTAGTGCAGCAGAATATGTGTTTCCTGTGTAAAACTATTTGTGTGTGTGTCTTCCTACAGGTGTGATGCCAAAGAGAGGTCTGGATGTGAGCTCCTGTGAGGTGTTCAGGTTCTACAAACTGGTGACAATCAAGAGTCTCATTGAGCCTCTTGCCATGATCGTACCCCGCAGGGTGAGAGTGCATCGACACACAAGTCTCAAACACCAAGGGGGAAAGAAATTTTAGCTTTTCTGTGCTCTCTAAATGTACCGTTTATGTGTTTCCAGTCGGAGTCATACCAGGAAGACATCTATCCAATGACGGCTGGTAACAGGCCTGCTTTGACTGCAGAGGAGTGGCTCAGTGGGATTGATAAAGGTCAGATTTAATGTGTCTGTGACATTTTTATATGGTGGCAAGGTGCTGGGGGATTTACAGGTCTTCTCTTATAGAGTGCTGCATGGATGACGTATTATTGTAGGCCAACCCAGAACTCAGCTACTTGTTACTTGTAATTAAATTAGTTGGAACAAGTTAGAAAGTTTGCAAGAGCGCAATTATACACATCGTGGCTTTAAAGGCGGATTAGTAAGTCTGCGTAGTTTAGCCACTTGTTAGCCGTTTAGTTGACTGTTTGGTTTGTTTTAACTGCACATTAACGCACTGTTTTCTTTGGAATTGTACATGGCATTAAAATTACAACAAAAACAAAATGAATGTCAACAAGTCAAATTTTGGTGTTAGTATTTTGATTAAATATGTACTTACTGCTACTTTTACTTCTTTCTTTTTTTACCATACTGTAAGTGTATTTTGCTTCACTATTTCAGTTAGTACCTAATCTGTTGGTAATTCTTTACCATTGGTGGAAAACATACTAAGATCCTTTACTCCCTACAAGTGAAACATCTGCATTTAAAGTAAAAGTATACCTGCAAAAGACTGATTTAAACTACTTTAGATATTGTCGGGTAGTTTAATTTATAAACTTTGTCTTCTAGGCCCAGTTCTGATGTCTCTGAAGCCTGGAAGTCAAGTAGAAGTGTCGTATTCAGAGATGACCAAAGAAACGGGAAACTCGCTGGACTCTCGCAGGTCCCACAGCAGACCGGGCGCGCTACAGCTGGCGTACATTCAGGACCAACTGGGAACCAAAGAACGCAGAGAGGACAGCGGCCGTACAGAGGATGACAGGACCAGGACACCCGTCAGCAACGGAGAAGACCTCGCACTTTGCTCTCCCCCTCGGACAGAGAATGAGGTACTAAAGGATTTTAGTGTCGCTACCTGTAGTGTCTGTAAGTCTGTTAGAAACTTTCTGTTTTATTAATGCACTGACCCTGAAAATTACATTCAGTTGTATTCATTAATAACTCAGGCAGAGATTGAACTGTTTTCATGATAAAATGAATAAAGCAAATACTTTAAGCTAACTAAAAATGAAATGAAGACATCACTTCATGAGAATAATAAAATTAAACTGTCA